GACTCTCAAAAGAACATTGTGACTACTAAAGATCAGTCCTCAGGATATGTTTTCTTTGTTTGCATCCTGGTCCAGAAATTCTGGGTGGTTTTCTAGGAAGGAAAGCACTTTTTGATAGATACATTAATAGAATTATAGATTTGAAAAAGGCCCTAGACATGTCCAGACTACCCCCTACCACACATAGAGGAATTCTTTATGTAATTTGCTTGATAGAGGATTATGCTTTTTCTGCTCAGTACTTTTTTTTTAAGATTTTATTTATTTATTTGATAGAGCGAGAGAGGGAACACAAGCAGGGGGAGAGGGAGAGGGAGAAGCAGGCTTTCCGCTGAGCAGGGAGCCCATTGAGGGGCTCGATCCCAGGACCCTAGGATCATGATCTGAGCCAAAGGCAGACACTTAACGACTGAGCCACCCAGGTGCCCCATCTGCTCAGTACTTTCAATGATAAAGATACGGCTTCATTAAGCATTGTGGGCTATTGTTGGAAATCTCAGGTTATTGAATTTCTTTCTGAGTTAAAACATCTGTCATTCTTTTTTTTTTTTTAAAGATTTTATTTGTCAGAGGAGGGCTCGCACAAGCAGGGGGAGAGACAGGCAGAGGGAGAAGCACGCTCCCGCTGAGCAAGGAGCCTGATATGGGACTTGATCCCAGCACCCTGGGATCATGACCTGAGCTGAAGGCAGACTGAGCTACCCAGGCGTCCCAAAACATCTGTCATTCTGTAACTTCTATTCATTGGTCCTGTTTCTACCCTCAGCATCACAGGATAAGTTTCTCTCTTCTACATTTCAACCATCAGATATATGAAGCTCAGCAACCTGTCTCCCTTCAGTAGTCTCCTTTCCAGACTAAGGAATACCAATTTGTAAGACCTTTGCTCTTATGAAAAATGGCTTTTTGATCTTTCAGTATACTCTTCTGGACATCCTTCTATTTAATGAATATCACTTAAAATGTAGAACTTGGAAATGAGCACAGACCACCAGATGTTCAGTTTTCTTCTCCAGCTTCCCTTTGAGAAGAATCACATTTAAAAAAAAAAAGTAGGGCGCCTGGGTGGCTCAGTCGGTTAAGCGGCTGCCTTCGGCTCAGGTCATGATCCCAGGGTCCTGGGATCGAGTCCCACATCGGGCTCCCCACTCTGCGGGGAGCCTGCTTCTCCCTCTCCCTCTGCCTACTTGTGTTCTCTCTCTATCTCTCTGTCAAATAAATAAATAAAATCTTAAAAAAAAAAAAAGTAATGGCAGTATATTTTGTTGACTAGAGAAAAACAAAACAATTTGCCAGGACATACAGAATTGGGGCAAGAGGAATTTGAGGAAGTGTCTTTCCTTACTAGTGTTAAGGCTGAATTTTGGGTTCTACATTATTATAGGCATTGATTTTACCTCAGATCTTTTCAGGAATAATTTTTAATATCTGCATCCAGTTTACTCTTCAGATTATGAAATTCAGTTGGTATTTGTGTTTACAAGAATTGTTCACATTTATGCTACTGAACTGATTTTAGGGCTTCAGATAGTTTTTTAACAAGATGGATATGTACATGTTTTTACATAACTGAAAATCTATTAACCTTTTTTATTTTTTATTTTTATTTTTTTTTTAAAGATTTTATTTATTTATTTGACAGAGACATAGCGAGAGAGGGAACACAAGCAGGGGGAGTGGGAGAGGGAGAAGCAGGCTTCCCGCTGAGCAGGGAGCCCGATGCGGGGCTCGATCCCAGGACCCTGGGATCATGACCTGAGCCGAAGGCAGATGCTTAACGACTGAGCCACCCAGGCGCCCCTATTAACCTTTTTTAAAAAGTATTTATTTGAGAGCGAGAGAAAGTGTACGTGAGAGCTGGGTGGGGGGAGGGGACGGGGGAGGAACAAAGGGAGAGGGACAAACAGACTCTGTACTGAGCACCTGACACAGGCTCCATTCCACAACTCTGAGGTCATGACCTAAGCCAAAACCTAGAGTTGGATGCCCAACTGACTGAGCTGCCCAGGTGCCCTTATTACTTTTATTCATGACAACAACTTGACTGTAAAACTTGAGTAACAACCTTTTTTCTTCAAAATTCTGTAGATTTTTCATTCTTTTTTAACATTTAATATTGCAGAGCAGTCTGAAGTTGGTCCAAATTTTGTCCTTATAATTGGAGAATTTTGCCAGAATGTGTGCAAGTTTGGCTTTTTAAATTGATTTTGCTGAAAGAGTAGTAAGCCTTTTTAATCTGCGTGCAGGATCTTTTTCAGCTCAAGATATTATTCATTTATTATGTCTTAATGGGTTGCTTTCCTCCCGTTTATTCTAGTTTCCTCAGTTTTCTTTTCAGTGCTATTAAATGGTATATATCTCTCAATTTCTCTAATTTTCTTTTTGCTGTCCTTTTTCTTCATGTTCTAGGAAAATATGTCAAGTTTTCTTGTAGTTTACTGAATCATTTCCCACAGTTTCAGTTCTGTGCTTTTTTGATTTCTGTGTGAATTTTAATAGGTAGTGCATGTTTTGTTTCCTTCTTCCTTTTTAAAAAATGTCATATCCTCATATCCTTTTGTCTAAGTTCATATCCTTTCATTTCTGCCTGTTTTCTTCTTAATGCTATCTCTTCCTTACTGGCATACGTCATTTATCCTGCTCCCTATGACAGGTCAGCCAGTATAGTAAAGTGAGAACTGTCATAAGCTCTCTGAGCACTATCATTTTTATGTACTTTATATTCTTTCCCCCAGAATCTCTCTTCCATCATAGTCTTGTTTTCTAGAGGAAGGTTGTATTTGTTTGTTTTGTTTTGTAGAGGAAAGTCTTTTGAAAGTTTTGTTTTTCCAAGGTTAAACAAACATAGGGTTGTTTTAATGGTTAAATTACATACTGATAGTGCAGCTTGGAAGGAAAGTGGGTGAGTCTTAAGTGAATGTGAACGTGTTATGTTCTAAGCCTTGCCACACAGTTGCAAAGATTGCAGAGGTAATAGATTATGATGTTGGAAAGAACCATGCTTTAATGATGCACTATAGTGCAGATTCAGTTGGCATTCCCTTTTCTAGAAATGCTCACTGTCCCTCATAATAGAATTATTTCTAGTACCATTTTCCACTGCCTTATTTATTCACTGCTATATTCCCATCACCTAGCACATAGTAGGTAATAAATACAATTTTTTTTGAATGAATGAACAAAGATAATATTTACTGGAGGCCAAGTCTTCTTCGGTGGTATTGAGAATTCCAAACATTTCAACAAAAATTTCTTTAAAATTCTAGATATTTGGGGCGCCTAGGTAGCTCAGTCGGTTAAACGTCTGCCTTCAGCTCAGATCATGATACCAGGATCCTGGGATCAAGCCCTATGTCAGGTTTCCTGCTTAGCAGGGAGTCTGCTTCTCCCTCCCGGCCCCCCACTCATGCTGTCTCTCTCTGTCTCTGTCGAATAAAGTAAATCTTTAAAATAAATAAATAAAATTCTAGCTATTTTCAGAGGTATCATTTCACTGACTTCAGGGATAATGTTTCCTTTACCTTATGGGTGACATTTTTTCATAGTTCCTACATCAACCCCCCCCCCCCCATTTGCTCTTCCTTTTATGAAGTAAGGTCTCTGTAGACTCGATGCCAGCAATAGTTGTTCCTAATGGTACTAAGCTCTCTACTTGTGTAAAGGATGTATTTTCTTCTATATCTACAGCTAAATGGCAAATCAGTGTGCACAGCTTTCTCTCTTAAATCCCAGTTCCTAGCAAGCATTTCCTTGGGACAGCTCTGCTATCTTGGGATGATGTCTTCTCTTGTAACTGCACCCTGGTTCTTTGATACTGTCTTGAGAGAGGAGGTGGAAAAGTACAATTGGTCTTGTCTCTGTTTGCCTTTTGCTCTGTTATGAGCGTTCGTTTCTAAATGGATATAGAAAGATGGTAGACAGGAGTGAGCAAGAACAGAACTCTTTCACTTTGTCATAAAGTAATACATGGATGGTATTTGTTGGCTGCCAGGTTTTCTAGATGGTACACTCCCGAAGTCTCGAGGCAGGAGACTGGTGTGTTATAAATTGTCTCCCTCCCCCAACCCCCCTTTTTTAGCCAATCTCTGTTTCATGTGGTGAGGCCTTGGTATTTGTCAATACTATGCCACCAATCTTATGTAAAAATGTGAAGAATTATTTCACACTCTGCTTTTAGGGGTTTTAGTAGTGTTCAGTCAGGGTAAAATTTTTTCGTGTGTGTTTATGTGTGTGTGTCTTCATAGATATTTTAGTGGGACGTGGGAAAGGCTACACTGCATTACCCTCTTCGGACATAATTTGAAACGTTGAGTTGAATAAGGCTTACTTAACTGAAATTAAGCTGATTAATTGAGTCCTCTCTGAGGATTGTCTTCTTTAGCTACAGTATTTGTTCTCTATCCTAATGTTATATTTTTCCTAGTTCTGCTTGCTTTTTCTCTTTCACTCTTATCCATAATAAGATCCACCCCCCCCCCCCCCCCCCCCGCCAAACAGTAGAATGACAAGGCATCCTTATTGTTGGTAGGGATAGGCCCTGTTAATAGAGGGCTTTTACAGCCTTTGCAAGTCCATGTTCTGAGTCTCTGATAATTCAAGAAGAAGCAAGGAGAAAGGGGGTTTGAGTAAAGTTGTGCTAGAGCTTGAGTCTGTTATGTGCCAGGGCCTGTGTTGATTGAGGGAGGATTGCCAGCTGGCAGTGATAGTAGAAATAAGTCTCTGGGGAATGGGAAACTAACTCTAGAGGATTCCTAGTTAAGACTTATACAGAATCTCCGGGCATTTGGAAATACTGTACTCTCCCCTGGGGAGATGGAGCGGGAATTAACTTTTCCCTGGTCCAATGTGACTTGGTTAGAAATACAATTGAACCTGTTTGTCTTGTCCATTGTGATGTGATAGCCTCCTAGGAACAGTCTGTTTTGTGTGGGAGTTTATTTCAGGCTGTCTCCTTGCCTGTATTGTTTCCTTTAACAGTTCTTTAAATTTTCTTTTTCCAGCAATGATGTTGTCCACTGGGCATGTACTGACCAATGTGGCAGGTCTGAGAACATAGCTGAAGCTGAAAATAGGAAAGCTGGGGGCAAGGAAGAGCCTTGAATCTTGAGGTGGGACGTTGACTCTAAGATGTCCTTGAGCAGTGGAGCCTCCGGAGGGAAAGGAGTGGATGCAAACCCGGTTGAGACATACGACAGTGGGGATGAATGGGACATTGGAGTAGGGAATCTCATCATTGACCTGGACGCCGATCTGGAAAAGGACCAGCAGAAACTGGAAATGTCAGGCTCAAAGGAGGTGGGGATACCGGCTCCCAATGCTGTGGCCACACTACCAGACAACATCAAGTTTGTGACCCCAGTGCCAGGTCCTCAAGGGAAGGAAGGCAAATCAAAATCCAAAAGGAATAAGAGTGGCAAAGACACTAGCAAACCCACTCCAGGGACTTCCCTGTTCACTCCAAGTGAGGGGGCAGCTAGCAAGAAAGAGGTGCAGGGACGCTCAGGAGATGGTGCCAATGCAGGAAGCCTGGTTGCTGCTATTGCTCCCAAGGGCTCAGAGAAGGCGGCTAAGGCATCCCGCAGTGTAGCCGGCTCCAAAAAGGAGAAGGAGAACAGCTCATCTAAGAGCAAGAAGGAGAGAAGCGAAGGAGTGGGGACTTGTTCAGAAAAGGATCCTGGGGTCCTCCAGCCAGTTCCCCTGGGAGGACGGGGTGGTCAGTATGATGGAAGTGCAGGGGTGGATACAGGAGCTGTGGAGCCACTTGGGAGTATAGCTATTGAGCCTGGGGCAGCGCTCAATCCTTTGGGAGCTAAACCGGAGCCAGAGGAAGGGGAGAATGAGTGTCGCCCGCTAAAGAAAGTCAAGTCTGAAAAGGTAAGAGGTGGCCAGATCTGGCTGCCTACTGCCAGTCAGAACTGCCCTGGACTAACCACTAAATGCTTTGTGCACTCTGTGGGAGGCTCATTAGTTTGTGGGTAATGACCAATTATAAGGTCAGAGCAGCTGGTAATGATAATGTGGTTTTGTTCCAAATTAGGGGATTCTCTGTAGATTCATTAACAGCAGGCCTGGCCATTTTGGAGAATATCTATTGTTGGGGGCAGCTACTTGGTAGAATGAATTTTCTCTTAAGTCAAGTTGAGAACCTGCCACCTTGTCCTTGTCCCACCCTCAGACACTTGTTGCTGGAGACTGGCATCAACCTTTACGTGGTCCCCAGCTTGCTGGTATTTCATCCTCAGAGTCATTGATAAACTTTATAAGTTGATGATAGGCTTTCGGTTGAGTGTTGTTTTTAATGGAATAAATGGTGCTGCTGGGTTTCTGGAAGAGAAAAGGTTAAATAAGTTTCATGGTATGATATCTACCAAGTGTTCTATTGGTGGCTACCAAGGAGCAAAGGGGCAGGTAAATAAGGGAGCAAGAGGTACTGACTGTACTAAGAGGTACTTAATCATAAGGCCTTATGAGTTAGTGCTGTGGCTATGCATGTTTGGCCTTGAAAGAGATTCTTTGGCCATTAAAGGTATAGTTCTTGGCCACGTATCTACCTCAAATATTGGTAATCACAGTGTCCTGGTGGTTTAATAGCTGCCAAACTGTGTAATGATACCTTACCTTGTGCTTGAGTTGAAAGGACAGGTGCTTGCAGCCCCAGGAGGGGCTCTCCTCCTCTGGGAAGATGATCTTAGTTCATGTCTCAGGAAATAGAGCTTGCAGGGCTGGAGCAGAGTAGGTGCGAGTCTAGGGTCAGCTCAGGCTGCCTTAAACTTCAGCAGCTTACAATTTCCTGCAAAAGCGGCTGGCCTGGTGATGAGCTCTTCATTGGCTCTTGATTTTTCCGCTGTTTTGCTCACCCCATGCTTTCAGCTGATCCCAGCAGATGCAGTATAAATTGGTTTCTCTGTAATTACATCAGCTGCAACAGGGAATACCTATTTCCATATGTAAGTGTTAATAAATAGAGGCTGCATGTGTATGTTTGTGTGGTGGTGCCCTCTCCGTGCCTGGATTCCAGTGGTAGGCTGTGCTGTCTTTGCTGTAGGTATTTTGGTCTTTGCCTCCAGCACATCTGTAGCTCTTAGCAACATCTGGGCTTCCCTGGTAACAGGGCTGTGAATTTTCTTCCACTAATAACACAATGGTTCATTCCCTTTCACCAGTGGCAGCTGCCAGAGAGAAACTGCCTGTGTTTAGGTGACAGATGCTATAGTCCACCTCAGCAGCATCAAGTTCCAGCTGGCTACTGGCATGGCTCATCCTGTGCTGGCTGTGATTTACCATTTTCTCTGGGGTGCAGATGGGTAATACTGTTTTAAAGAGGCCTAGGAGTACCAGGAGTTCTTGCTTCTGTTCCAGGCCCATTAGACTGTTCCCTACATCTGGCTGCAATAAACTCTTGCCATATATCCATGTTCATAATCACTGTACTTCCTGTGCTGAAAAGTGGCCACTTTTTTAAAAAAGATTTATTTATTTATTTGACAGAGCATGCACGCACATGCATGCATGCACAAGCAGGGGGAGTGGCAGGGAAAGGGAGAAGCAGGCTCACCTCGGAGCAGGGACCCCGATGCAGGGCTCTATCCCAGGACCCTGGGATCATGACCTGAGCTGAAGGCAGACGCCCAACTGACTGAGCCACTCAGGCACACTGAAAAGTGGCCACTTCTGAGAGTGGACTTCATTTTCTTTTCTGTTTAGAACTCTTGACTCATGTCACAGTCTTGTTGGCCCAGTAGTCATCTGCAGGTGAAAGGATTAATGATGCTGAGCTTCATGCTGGATTTACATCTAAATGTCCATGATAGTCTCCAACAGAGTAGCAAATGGAACCTGTTTGTTTGTTTGTTTTAAGATTTTATTTATTTATTTGACAGAGGGGCAGGGAGAGAGGGAACACAAGCAGGGGGAGCAGCAGAGGGAGAAGCAGGCTTCCCACAGAGCAGGGAGCCCGACGCGGGCTCGATCCCAGGACTCTGGGATCATGACCTGAGCTGAAGGCAGACGCTTAACGACTGAGCCACCCAGACACCACTGGAACCTGTTTTCTCTTAGAGGTCCCGTGACCAGTTGAGTGGTTGCCCTTCAGATTATAATTGGGCTGAAAGATGCAGTGTATTCAGCTAAGAAAGCACCTTGGTGCCAGGGAGGTTTGCCCCTTCATAATGTAGCTGTGGTATATAAGCCTTGTCTCCCAAGGAGACTGACAGTGGGGCAATGGAATGAGAGAGAAAAGGGAGAGAGACTGCTTCAGTTTTTGGAAGAAAGATAAAATTGCTGGGAGGTACTTTTAGAAGCAGAAAGTTGCTGTGCAGTTTGATGTTACTGTAAGCCAAAACGTGGTTTCTCAGTTCCTTTCCCTATTCCCTCAGCCCTTTTGAACAGTCTGGTTCTGGGGGTGCTTTTCCATAAAGCCTTTGATCATTGAAATAATTATTTAAATAAATGTTAGGAAGTTGCTAGGAGATGAAAACACTGCAGGGAGAGAGTGTTTCTAGAATGGGAGGAGGGGAAGACTTAAGGGAAGAGAAGGCTAGAATTCTTACAGCAGATCAGCCTTTGGGAAACAAGGACTCCAGAGTTTAGAGTATAACAGGGGCTCAGTGATGATAAGGATTATAGCTTATATGCTAAGTCTTTGAAAACTTTTAAGATTTTCTCTCTTAGATATGGGCTTGCCTATGCCTTAATTGGTTTGGAATGTTCCTTCTATGTGGGGACAACCAACAGAACTAAAACAGCAAAACATGTTTTGATATAATCTGGGAATTATATACCCTGAGCTGGGAGCTATCATGAAGAAAGAAAACTCATAAAATTTGGGAAGCGTCTTGACTGATGTCTCCCCCTAACCATGTCCGCCTACCCTCCCCACCCCTCACCACCTTGGAAACAGGGAAGAAGACAAATAGAGTTTGTGGTGTAGGGTAGAATTGTCACATGTCTACCACTAGCTAATGAGGGAGATTTGAGTATTCAAATTATCCACCTCAGGACCTTCTTTCTCATCAAGGTAAGTATCTCAGGCTATGGCTGAGGGAATTTCCTATTAGCCAAGAATGTGGATTTCCCTTCATGGGATCCTGCTTAGGCTCCACCACACCTTTCTCTGGAAGGGCTCACTGTGCTGTCTCCCAGAGTTGTAGGAGAGACCAGAATGGCTCTTAGCAACTGCTGCTGCCCTGAATTGTTATTGAACACTCCTGCTCATACTTCCTGCCAGCTAAAGAGATGGGGGAGGGAATGTTGAGGAATAAACAAGACAGAGCCTTTAGGCTCCTGCCTGTTCCCTTGCCTTTGGTTTGATTGATAGATTGTTAAGTTAGGGATGGAAGGGGAGGAAGGGTTCCTGCCTGAATGTTCCAAGCTTAGAGCTTAGTGCTTGCATTGCCACTCTGACAGGCAAGAAAAAAAAGAATTTACAAACTACAGAAGTCAGTGATGTATCTGTGCTGAGTCTGTCCCGCAGTACAGACTCTTGTCAGAATCAGGGCTTATACCAGGAATTTAAGGTGAGACTCATTTTTTTCAAATCATATAAAGTAACCAGTAGGCTCTAGTGGCTAAAGGATCTAGAGGTTTGCAACCAGAAGCTCCCCTGGCCTCTTTAGGTGCTGTTTTTGATCTTGCAAGGTAGAACAGTCTGCACTCCTGTTTTGGGTCTCAGCTTCTGCTACTCTCAGACTGCTACATATATTACCACTTCCCCCCTTACTTTAGGATACAAAAAAAGAAATGAAAAAAAAAACACCATTAAGTGTGCTCTTTGCTCTTTCACCTTCTGATCATGCTTGCTATCATATCCTGTGTTCTAAGAGCATCTTCCTTTGCCCTTGGTTTTGTTTTCCTGCCCTAGTTTATGCCTTCCAGCTCAGTTCTCTCGTGTTAAATCCCTCATTGCCCAACCAAGGTCGGGTCTTTTTTTCCTTCTGATTCAAGGCTTTCTCTCTTAAAGCTTCCTCCTTCACTAGCTGTTCTTTCTCAGCTATTGATGGCATAGCAGTCAGCCATGCTTCCTGAAGCCAAGTGCCCTCAAGCATTTTCCTACATGGAAAAAATTAAAAAGAAATTGATATTTATGTGGGACAGAGATGCAACAGAGCCTGAGCTTAATTTATTTTTTCTTCAGTAGCTCTGTTTTCCATCTGGGTGTTGTAATTCAAGGAGGTCCCACAGAAAAATTATCTTGTCCAATCTCCTCATTTTATGGAAGGAGAAACTAAGACCAGGGAGGTCATGTGACTTGCCTAGGCTTTCATAGGTAGTCAGTAGCAAAGTCAGGCTTAGACACCAGGTTTTTGGTGACCAAGTTCTTATGGCATATTGTTCTTCTGGGGTATTTAAAAAGTCTTCAACTGTTATGAGGGATTCTTTGTTTTCCCATTCTAAAAACTACCTTAGAAACATTGGATGTAAATTCTCAGATACTCTTGAAACTGTTTTCATTGTTTTTCATACTGATTTTAACGTTGTAGATGCTTAATAAACAAAGGATCCTTGAGTTTAGATTTCCTTGGTATGATGAAGATGTTTGCAAAGAACTATTTACAGCTGGTGTTAAACCTATCCTGTTATCCTGTTAAATATAAAGAGGGAAAGTTACTTTTAAACTGCTACTTTGAGCTTGGTTTTGTGTGTGTCTGTGTGTTTTCTGGAATATTGCATTCAGATTTCCATTGTAAGCGTTGAGGCATTGCCATTTCTTTGCAATTGCAGGTAAGAGAACAAACCTTTTTGCTTCTTGGACATATCACTAGTAGGCAGATCTTAAATGTATTGTGGATATTAACTGTTTTATAAAGACGATATATACTGTTGAATACCATTTATTCAGTACATTAACTGAGTGCATTTTATTTTTATTTAAAAAA